AACCACCTGCCTCTAAAACAGCTGTGAGAACCGTAGATTTGCTGGGGTAAAGGAGAAGATTGAGTCTGTGTTGCAAACTTAGTTTCAAAACTGATCCGTCTTCCCTTTCTTTCTCTGCAAACAAAATGCTGTTTAAAAATTGCTGTTTGTGTATAGGAAGATAGTTTTCTCTCCAGTTCTGGTCAGGTTCACAAAAAACTAGAATGCAGCTGATGCCCAGGCATTTAAGTTAATACCACTTGTCCAGGAGAAAAAAAAAATACAACTTTGGCATTGAAAAGTAGAGGAAAAACAAATTTGATGAGTATTTGGCTTTCTCAGTAGCTAGCTATGCCTGACTGAAAGCTGAAGGGAAAACAAATATAATTATTTGTGTGAGATTGAATTTCATTTCCAACTGAAAATACAAAATCTGTCACCTGCACATTCACTGTAAGCTGTGGTTGTGGGGTGCAGGATGCTCCAGCAGCACACTGAAGCAGTGCGTGTGTCCTCCTGTCCCACTGCCACCTGTGTCCCCTAAAATGAAGGTTACCCATGTGTCAGGACTTGGCTCCCTCCCAGAAAGCGTGGAGATGGGAAAAGTGGGTCCCTAGGCATTTGTACTGCAGGCAGCAAGCCTGCATTTGGCTGCTTGGCTGGCCAAGCCTGCTGGAGTAAAATCTCTAAGACCTTAAGATGTATGAATAACATTTGGCTTGAGTCCATTTCCTCAGTGCCGGACAGCTTGCTGCTGAATGAAGGTTTTTTTTTATTCAGGTCCTCAGAGTCAGACCCTTGCCCAGATCCAGCTGTCCCTGGTAATTAAATTTTAATGCCTCAAGCTGGAAGTTTGCATTGGTGTTTTAAAAGAGGCTGGCAGCGGTCTGCTATGGTCACCTGCAGGCTTTGAAACTCTCATCTGCTGACAAGGGGAAGGTCCCACCTCCTCGGGCCTGGCTGAGCTGGTGTGACAGTTCTCCAGCCCCAAAAGGAGAACTAAGGGGATTCCTCTTGTGCAGGCAGGAGGAGCTAGAAAGCCAGTGAGGGTTTATTGTGTGAAAAATGTGGATCTGAGGAATGCAGTAAGTTTTCTTGAGATGGCTGGGAAGCAGCGAATGTCTGCCCTGGGTATGGGGGGCTGTTTGGGAGGATGAAGAGGAGATGCCCTCTCCCAGCATAGCCTCTGAGCAGAGCTCTCACATGCAAGCAGCTCGTGCAGCAAGCTCAGTGAGTGCAGTGTGAGCTATAAATAGGCATTCTATCACTTTGTGCCGAACGGTTCTTCCTCACACTGTGTTTTTCTGATGGATTTAATTAGAATTTAGGAAGGTGGTAGTTGTTTGGGCTCTGCTTGGGTTGTGTTTTGGGAGCCCCGTGCTTGTGGTGGCTCTGCTCATGGCACTGCTTGGCCACCTGAAGGCACCTGAGCTGCCTGTATTGTGGCAGCTGCTGTTATGCCCCCAGTATGTTTCAGGAGGGGACCCAGGGCCACCACAGCCCATTCTGGCAGCACACAGAACTGGAGCAGGGCCAAGGCCAAGAGGAGACATGGGGCTGATGGATCCCCTCTGCTGTACAGGAACAGAGGGAGTGTAAGAGGGAGGTGGCTAGAAACCAACCACGCTGATGGGTGAGACTCTTCTCCTCCTCCTTAAACTGTTGCATTGTAATTACTGTGCAAACAGAAGGCCTGGGTAATTATTCTGTGATTTTGTGGGTGTAAATTTAACAAGTCATTCCCATATACTTCTACAAGTCATTCCCATACTACTTTTTCCTTTAAGTTTTTCTCCTTAACTGAGCGCTCTCAGTTTCTGTATGGGTGAAGTATTGCTAGTTAACAACCTGAGTAAGAAACAGCTCTGAACACAGATGACTAGCAGGGGCTGGCACTGCTGCCAGGCAAACTCTGTTTGCAGTAAGGATGTGAGAGCAACAGCAAATGTTTTCACAGATGCAGGCTGTGACCCAGCTCAAAGCACAAGCTCAGAGATGCCAAGTAGGTCTTGCAAGGCTTCTGAGAACCTTCTTGTCCCTGCCCAAACCATTGTGGCTAATGAGATCCAAAGGGACGCTCTAATAGTCAAATCCTGTATTTAAGTGCTGGGGTTCATACAGAGACCTGAGAGAGGACAGCACTGTGGTTTGCCTCTCTATTGCTCTAGTGGCCAGAGTTTATTGGCCTGTGGCACCGGGCTTTTTCTCATAAGCTGGCAGAGAATAGTTTATGGTAAAAGGATATCTTTGGGATTAATATTTCTGGCTTTAGCATATTGCACAAAAAATCATGAATCCCAAGTCACACTCATGTATTGTTAGAGAAGTTTCCATGGAATTCAATCAGGTTTCCCTCTTCAATTTGTCATAATACTCCAAATTTTTCTGTTCAACATTAAGCACGGCAACAAATCAGAGCAGATGTGGCTCAATGAAACCATCTTGCAGCTTAGGATGAGTGAGGTGGTTACAAACAGCTTTGAATATGTGTATGCTGTGTGTCTGTGTACAATATAGCCGAACAAACCTCCACTGCTGTTTGTGCTGCAGAACAGATGACTTGGAAAAGGCTCTCGAGTAAGTTATAAATTGTTTCCTGTCACTGTGCTGTCATCTTGTTCTGCTGCTCCACTCCTTCCCATTGCATTTGTTTCCTTCCTCCTTCCCTTTCCCTATATTAAAGCAAAGCTGAAAGTACCTGTGCTGGAGGCATCTATTGCCTTGCTCATGGTGTTGTTATTAAATCCCCCAGGTTTGGGCTGCCTGTTCTAACAAATAAACCAGAGCCCATTGCTGAGCAGCTGATTTTCTGCTGGTTGAATGAAGATGCTGTCTGAAGCAGTTTCTTCTTTTCTGCTTGTCGTTTGTTTCCCATATGTACACTCTTTGGCATAACATGTCCTGCTGAGTATTAAGCCTGCCATAGACCTGCCTTCACTGCCACAGTGGATGTTTTGTTCCAAACCCATGTTATCCAGAACCAGGCTGGCTTGTCATTCTGAGGTTCCTATGGAAAGCAGGAGGTTGTGCCCACCAAGTCCCAGGTGTCCCCTGGATTGTCTCAGTGTCCTTGATCAACTTTTGATGTCTGCATAAGGAAAACACCCCCCATTTTGAAGCACTTGGCTGCAGAAATGAAGCTGAGTAGGTTCTTCTTTGGCTTAATGAAAAAGGTTATGCTTTTCTTTCACTTGTTTTCCTTTCTAAAGTCCATTGAATCCATTTTGTTCTTTCAACAAAGAGTATATATGACACTCCAGGGGAAAACAAAAAGATTTTGAAGGGGGGTGGGGGAAGAAAACAAATCATTTACTTAAGAATTGGAGAAGTGTTCTCAAAAAGGGATTATAAAGTATGGTGACAGTATCTGAATTGGTAAAGTAGTATGAGAAACAATTCTTCTCCCAGGAAAGCGTGTAAGATTTTGAATCAGAAGGAATAACTTGAATTCAGACACTTTTGCTAATCAGTTAATTTATTTGCTTTACTTGAACAAAGTCATTGTTGTCCTGACTTCTTTTTAATAGTTCATCTAGCTTTAAGCATTTTTAATTTGAGCTTTAAATACATTTTTCTGCCCTTTTGTAAATAAATAAATAAATAAACACCCCCAGATATGAAAGTGACCCTTTCTTCTGATCAGCTTCCATTTAATAGATGTGCATTTTTCAAAGGGAGAATTACATTAAGCTTTTACTGATGAGCTTCATAGATTGGACGTGGCCAAGAAATGTGCCTGGCTTAAGTCCTGCTTGTGTTGCTTGTCTTGCCTGTGAGCCTGACTGGAGAAATAGGATGAGATGGTGAAGAGAACAAGAGAGAAATGTTCCTCATACTGTTATATGCTGCTGATACTTTCAGAGTTCTGGGACTTCACCCTGACATGTTCTGGATTTGAACATCCCCAAGTCTGGAGGCTGCCTGCTGCGGGCTTATCTCTGCAGGAGGCGAGCTGAAGTGCTCCATGCCATTGCCATGCCTTTTAAATGTAAGTGCAGAGCTCTCTTGTTCAGTGCCTTGGAAAATAACTGATGACAAAAGAGATTGGGCGTTCGGATAAGATAAGAATTAAATTGAAAATTTGTCCTGAAACAACAATGCTCTTGAACTTTTCAGGAGATGCAAAAAGTTGTGCTTGTTTTCAAAACAGTTTTTCAGTTTTCTTCATCTCCTGAAATTGTCTGTGCTGACATTGTACACAAGCACTAAAGCAATCAACAGCTCCAAGCAGTGCAGGGTGACAGTAAATTTGCCTCAGTAAGACTCCATCGTGGCAAACTTCCCTGTCTCTGTTTTGTCACGGCAAAACACCGCAGGAGGTGTGAGCACCACATGTGGCCGAAAGCATTTGGAGGTACCTGTAATTTGTGAAGCAAGGCCTGACCTCCCCAAGGCTGCTAATTTCCAAGAAGGACTCGAGCTGAAATGTTCCTGCTGTCCCAGCTTCCAAAGGCACTGAAATGTGTGCTCAGCTTTAAGTACACACTTCCATCTACCTGAACGAGCAGTCAGTATAATTAACCACGTGCAAGTGTACCCCTGAAGAGGAATTCATGCTTCAGTCCTAGATCTGTATCTTTGAGCCTCCTTGCTTGGATGAATTGCAATTTATTCCTCTTGGACTGCGGCCTTGTGCCTTCCTCCTTGGAGACAATTCCCATAGTTCCTGTATAATTAGATTAGCTCTGCCTAGGCCTACCTACAATGGGCAGAATAAATTGTTTCTAACCTCCCTAGACCCCACTGAAATGATACCTGTGGTCCCTCCACATGGGAGCTTGTACTTAGAGAGATCACAGTGACAGAAAACAGCCTTTTTAAAATGAGGAGTTGTATAGTGGTAACAGCAGGACCAGAGAAGCTTAAGAGAAGAGGATGCTGGATGGGAACTGTTGATCACGGCCTGAACCTCTGATTGATCACCTGAGGCAAGCAATGATTCAGCCACAGGTGCACAGGTGAAGGCAATTCAGCTGTGCTATTGGAAGGAGTGAAGCCTGGCTGCACCTCTCCTAGATCCCATTTAAGTGCTGACTGCCTTTGAGAAGGTTCTCTTTCTGGAGATCACTCTTTGTGGAGTTTGCTGTGAGCCTACGACACCAGTGAGCATTTCCATTTATTTTGATTATCTTTCCACTGTGATAATCTTACTAAACCTAACCTCTGTACACCTATTGATTGTACACCTATTGATTGTACAATTGTACACCTATTGATTTTTACAGATGCGTTAAATGAAATGAGTCCCTGTGAGTTACCTGTATCTCCTGGGGCTCGAGCTGGTGTGCTTTGCATGGAGACAAGCTGCTGGGCTTCAGAGGATGCTTTGCACCCTGGTGGACACATTACTCCAGCTCTCCTCATTTTGCAGTGAGCCTTTGAAATTCAAAATTTTTTCATTGTCTAAATCCACAGAACTAAAGTCCAGAAGACAGGAAGTTCATCAGGACATGGGGGTAGATACTGAAATAGCTGGCTCTTTCTTGCCTCTTGCTATTTATTTAGAAGATATAGGAAGGAATGATGCATTTTCTGACAGACTTGCCAATAAATGTACCCAGTAGGTAGTGCAGGGCCATTGCCAACTTGTGACAGTCCTAAATGTTGGTAAACAATTCAAAATTATCACGTGATCAGAATGAGGTAAAAAAAATTAATGTAGCACTGAATAAGGGACTAAAACCTACAATATCAGTTGCAGTCTGCTACCTAGTAATCAGCTACAAGTAAATGCATCTTGCTCGGGTTGTATATCTAGTTAGCACACGGTGTGAAAATTAAAGAATTAGCATATTTGTGGCAAATAAAACATTATGCTTTCACACAAGTGACTGTCCTTATTTAATGTCTTGCTTTTTATTTAGGGTAGCTGCAGAGACGCATCCTATACGTGTTCAGTGGAGCCAGTTGAATTATATGTTTAGAGTAATTCATCAGATAAATTCACATCCATGAATAATCTGCATTCAGATCACGACCTTTACCAAGCTGTGCATTTTCCGGGGCTCCAAGCTCTCAGCTGATGCTGAGCAGTGACAAGAGGAGCACAGAGACATTTTTCATCATCTCCTCCACTCCAGAAACAGTCTCACTTTAGGAGCAAGGCAGAAAAGCCTCAGTCCCAGGGGATGCCCTAGGGAATGTTCTGAAATGGAAAGAATGATTTTTTTTTTTTTTTTTTGAGGATGGGAGGCAGCTGCTCCCAGCCAGGGCGCTGCTGTTGCCTCTTGTCCATAAGCCTGGGCTGCTGAGGAGCCACTGTCCAGATGATGGATCGTTCTAGAGCGGTTAAATTTTGTCTCTCCGTTGCTGGACTCTGGGAAATGAGGCAGGGCGGTGCATCCAGCTGATGTAGGTCCACATATGTTCATTCTCCAAAACAGCTGGCTGCTTAGCCTGGCACTAACCTGACGGGAAAGCACTACAGCAGCAGCTCGCTGATGGCAGCTCTTGCTGTGAGAGCTGAACTCATTTTGCACACCTTAGCGCATTAGAGAGAAGATACAATTAAAATAGTGTGTCAGGCACCGTGGGCAGAGCTTAGAGGAATGCAGATGAGAGCTACAAGCTGTTGTAAGCCCTGTAGCATCCTACACGTGGATGTACACAAGGAGTACGTTCTACTCCTCATGCCAAAAATTGGAAAGGAAATGAAATAGCTGGAAAGCAACAGGGCTGTGTTGTTTCAGGAACAAGCCAGAGATTTCCATGTAGTAAATATTGCTAAGTGCCCTTGGCCACAGCAGGCAAGAGATTTGATTCACCTTTCAGATAGGGATTTAAATAACTTCGTATCAGAAATGAAATAATGTAACAGCTTGCACCACATTCCTCTCACAGCTATGGAGAAGTTCGGACCTTTGTCTCTTAATACTAGGTACATTTGATCCTAGTGATTTTTAGAAGTGCATTTTTAGTATTTTAATGTCATTTGCTTTCAGTAGTTCCACAGAGCTTTGTGCTGCTGCTGTGCGAAATATCTTACCAGTGCTGCAGCGTTCTTTGTTTGCTACTTGTCTTTAAGACTGTAGGTAAAGTTCTGTATAACCCACTGCTACTGGAGCAGGCTGCTGCTTCTCGGGTCCTCAGGCTCATGTAGGTGAGGGAGAACCAGTCCTGGAGCTGCTGAATTATTCCACAGGGGTCACAGTGTGTTCAGCTCAGGGGCATTCAATGCTGTGATAAACCAGGTCTTGGTGGAAGTGCTCGTCCCGTGGGACTGGCAAGACAACTTAGTCTTGGGATGGGATTAGATATAAGCTCTTATTATGATTTTGCTGTTCCCCCTTGGGATGAAATCAGTGCCTCAGTTTCTCTGTCTGTAAAATGGGGTACTACTAATCTCACTGTAACAATGTCCAGAGGGTATGGGGAGCTCCAAGCAAAAGATGTTGTTCTGTAGGAAATGTGCGTGGAGGAAAATTGAAATAGATACAAAGCACACTGTATACAGTAAGGTTTATTTGCTGTTTCAGCTTGTTCTTTCATCAGGCCATTGAACAATAGCCAAAGAATGGAGCAGATCATTTATTTTTTTTACAGGATATTAATGTCCCTGTGCCTTTGAAGCCAATTAACTAGCAGCAGGTTTGTGGCAAAGAACAGAACAGTGCTGGTTTCTTCCTGTTGGAGCTTTTATGACTGTTGCAAAAGCGTGACTGAATGAGGCTTTCATTACTTCATTTATTTTTTTATTTATTTTAGGCTGCTGAAGAATTAATGTGAATAATTTTCCCATTTTACCATCTGCTTTAGACTCTATCTCAAAGGGTTCCCAATGAGCGCGGAACGTAAAACCATTTAAAAATGATCCTCTCCACATTTCCTGCACTCAGCAGTCTGCTAATGTGGCCAATAGATCTAGGTGATGGGGCTGCATGATTTAGAGAGGATCATTAAGGTTATGATGAGCTGTGCAACTGTCTTGTTTATCCACAGATAGCTGTTTCATTGCAGTGCCCCTTGTCACAAAAAATAATTTTGCATTTAACCATTTACAGAGCAGTGCCAGGAACATCCAGCTGGGTGACTTCCACCTTGAATTCAAGAGGATGAGTTGGTTTACTAATTTCCATCTTATTTCCCTCATGGTTTGGGCTGGAAATGTTAAGGGGCTCTGGTGAGCTCCATGTAACCGATATGAGGTCAAGTGGCATTTTCACTGGCTTTCAAACGGTTATGTGCAAATAATCTTGGCTATCTTGTCTCTGCACCTGTTGACAATCCTGTGGTCTCTTGGATCCAAGGGTTTTGGCTTTCAATCTTTGCCTTGCACTCTGTCAAAACCTGTTTGTGCTTTGGTGACTCCCAGTGTGATGGACAAATGCTTACTGTCCCTTCTAGGAGGAGGAGAAGAAAGCTGAAGTCTTCAATCTGCCTACTGAACAAAAATTATTTGTGGCCGATGAATGGCTGGGTAGCAATATGCAAATTCCCTTGAAAGCACATAGAATGGTCAGCTGTGGCATAGCAGCGTTGTACCGGCTGTAGGATGATTCACATGTCTGAAAAATAAAAGGTACAGATCTTAATTTTCTTTGTTTTCTGCAAGTTTCAGGAGTGGAGGATCCATGTGACCACGCCAGCAGCAGTGTGTGCAGTTAGATGTATTGCTGTGGGTGCAGTGTGATCGTAACGAGGTGATGCGGCGCTGGGATCTCACCTAACTCATCTCCTGGCATTGTGGAAGTGGGAGAAGATGGATGTGCTGCTCCCTCGCCTCCTCCCTCCACGTTTTGTTTGTTGTTCAGAAGACATATGGGCAGCCATGTACACAAATACACACAGATCTCTCCCTGAAGAATGATGTCATGGCAGATTTTTTTGTATTCAGAGTAAAATATGATAATGGCACGATTTCCTTCCTTCAAGCAAGAAAATGGTTGAGCAGATCTTCTGTTCTTATGAAAAGCCTGTGAGTCTATTACTTTCCTGGGAATTGGATTTTTTTTTCTTGAAATGTGCTGCTTTTCTTGCTTTAAAAAAATCATATTTTGACTGGCACACCATTTTTACCATGTTTTGTAATAGAATGCATAAAGAACTCTGAATATTTTTGCTTTTGATTTTATATATAGAAAGTCTTAGATTGCATTTTGAATTACAGCCATCACTTAAATTAAAAACAAACAAACAGCAACAAAAAACCCACCCAAACAAATAAAAAAGCCCATCAAGCTTTTTATTTCTATAAACTTTTCTATTTACTTGCCCTTTCTGTAGTGCACCTGCAGGGCATTCTCCTCACCCTGACAATCTGCACGGTAATAGAAGTGTATACAACCGTGCTTGAAAAACCACATCACCCAGCATTCAGGCACGCACTCCCCTTGTAGTTTGCAAACCACGTTCTGATGGCTGGTTTGTTAATGCTAACGTAAACCTGCCTCAAAAACCTGATGCAATCCCTCCACGTCAAGGAGAGTCTGTCCATTGACTTATTGGACTTTGACTGGGATATTTCAGGTACAGAAACAAAGAGACCAAGACATGAGCCTGGTTGGAAGCCCAGGCAGCTCGTGGTGGGCAGCGGTGACCAGCCAGGCATTGGCAGTGGGGTTGGATGTGGCTGTAACACATGGCCATGGGGGCACTGGAGTTGAAGCCTTTCATTTCACATTAGGATTCTTCTCGTATTTGTTAGATAGAACAATATTAACCTTTTGAATTTATTTAGAAACTCATTAGTGCTTTTTCTATAGTCCATTCTTTTTCTGATTAGCTCTCCTCATTACAATTCAAATTTCTTTCTGCTACATTTACCACATTGTCCTGCTTTCCCTCATCTGTATTGTTGCTTGGCTTAATTTATTAAAGCAATGAAAAAGACAGGGAGGATCGGCTGATGTAGCACCATCCCTGGGCCCTGGTGCTCTGGGAGGAGGAGAAGAGATGAGACCCCCATGAGCTTGCCATGGCTGGGTTGGGGGTCCCCTCACACGGATGGGATGCAGTCTGGTCCCATGTCCTCATTTCATTCACTCCCCAGTCTAAGAGTTTTTAAATGGAATTCATTCTGAAAGTTGAGTGTCTACATTGCAGCCCAGAACCATGCACAGCGAATGCCCCAGCACATCTGGCAACCTGTTTTTAAGGTTAGTTTGAAAATTAGCTGCATATCTTTAGTAGCTTTTTTTTTTTCTTTTTTTTTCTTTCTTTCTTTTCTTTTTTTTTTTTTTTCCTCATTATCAAGATGCAAGCGTGGAAGTTTCTGTAATTGCTCCTGCGTTGGTACAACTCCAGTGGAATATGAATTGACATTTTTGGTCAATTATAAGAGACTTACGCTGATCCCTGTGCTGAGGACAAAGTGATGGGCAGATGTTAAGCTTCACGTCTACATTTAGGTATTTGCTGTGCTGCTTTGCAAAATGTTTTCTGTTAGGAATAGGTGTGTTTAGTCTTTCTTTTCCTTTAGCGTGGCATTTGTTTCTCAAGAGTGATGCTGATGCATGCCATGTGCTTGTGATCAGAGATGCAATATGCTTTTGGCAGGAGGTGATTAAACGCAGTCAGATGACTGAAACCATCCCAGTTCTTGTGGTTTTCTGATTGTTGGTGTATATGAACATCTCACAAAGGTGAATGAATGTGTTTTCACAGCAGCTATCATAAAACAAGGAAGTTGCAAAGTGTTTTCTTTGAGGCACAAGGGAGTTAACTCACTCAGCAAAGGTTAGAGAGAGAGATTTTGGCAGAGCTACAAAGAGAAGCTAAATTTCTGAATTTCTAATTCAATGCCTTAATCATAAAATCATCTTTTCTCTGGATTCTTTTCTGCCTGTAATAATTATAGTTTTGGCTGGTTTTATGTCCTTTATAAAAACCTGTCTTTCACACATCTTGTGGAACTGGAAAAAAAAAAAAGATAAAAGAAAAAAGAAGATAAAACAATCGTAATTTTCCAAGTGTATAATTTTGGACTCCAGCAGAGGCCTAAAACAAGTAAGGTAATTATTTCACTCAGCTCTGCGCCGTTTGGAGAATTCGAACTATTTTGTGAATTATAATTTTAAAGTAAGACCCATGAACTAGAAAAAGTTCAGCGAGCACCACGTAAAATAAATGCTTGTAAGTATCAGCTGCAAGAGAAGAGATGCTGGCTGTAAGTGTTTGGCGTGAAGGTGATTGGAGGAAGATGAAAAGATAGTTCATATTAAGGAGAGGAAGGAGAAAAAGAAAGATGTGATGATTTAGGTTGCGGGGAGGTTGCCAAGGCATACTTACTGGGCTGCGATCGTTCCTGGTGCAAGCTAAAGAAATAGACTTTCCCCAAGGATGAATTTGGCTTCCAGGCAATTGCAGGAGGTTGGGCAGGGAAGCTGCCAAGAGGCGGTGGGGCCAGCGTCAGTGGAGTTGTTAAAGTCTAGACTAGACGTGCGTTTGTTAGTGATGGTTAATTAACTTGTTCCTGGCAATCAGCCACCAGGGCAGGAGGTGGACTTGATTTGCAAGTCTTGATTGCCAGGAAAGTCACCCATAATTGCCTGAGAACTTCTGGCTTTCCGCTTTTCGCTTCAGTCCTGTGTTCCCTGTA